ATTATTTTACATCTCCAACAACAATCCATGAGGATTCCAATTTCTCTACATCCTTTTTTATTTTATTTACTTTTTTTTTGAGACAGGGTCTCACTATGTAGTTGGGACTGACCTGGAACTCACTATGTAGCTCAGGCTGGTCTCAAACTCCCAGCAATCCTCGTGACTCAGCCTCCTTCCGAGTGCTGGGATTACAGGTGTGCACCACCACGCCCGGCAATCCTTTTTTTGTTTGTTTGGTACCAGGGATTGAACTCGGGTCCTTGCGCTTGTGAGGCAGGCCACCAAAACGCTGAGCTAAATTCCTGGCCTCTTTTATCTTTTTAAATAGCAGATCTCAATGGGTGTGAGGCAGTATTTCATTATGATTTTGTTTTTTTTAATTATTTTATTTTTTTAAGAGCAGTTTAAAATTCATAGCTAATTTGACCAGAAGGCAGATTTCCCAAACATGGAAATCCTGCTCCCACATATGAATGGCCTCATTATCAACAGTTGTTATAACTGATGAACCTATACTTATTATAGACAGCTAAATTAGGTAGAAATATTACAGGCAGTCAGATAGGGCTAGGCCCTTGAGACAGGACAAAGGTCAAACACATTACAACCACGGCCTGAGATGCATCCATTAGAGACCAGGCCTTAAAATGAGGATGAAGGGGCCGGGGATTTAGCTCAGTGGTTCTGCTGCCTGCCTCGCAAGTGCAAGGACCCAAGTTCCATCCCCGGTACCCCCTCGCAAAAAAGAGGAGGATGAAATGACCAAGCCTGCATACTTTCCCAAAGGACAAGAAAAGCAGTTAACAGTCAGGCTAATGAAGCCCAGAAAGTCATCAGTCACCCTGGTGGGTGACCAACACCTCCAGACCCATCATTTCCTAGGAAGCCTTTGTGTTTTCCACGCACACTTATTGCACGACTTGTGTCACCACTGGACCACTGTTACCTAAGAGACCATACTTGTGACCTTATTGGCTGATCATAGCTTTAACCCATGTGTACCCACATGGTTTTGCTCTGTAAAACTTCCCCATAGGGCTGGGGATTTAGCTCAGTGGTGCTGCCACTTGCCCTGCAAGCACAAGGTCCTGAGTTCGATCCCTGGTACCAAAACAAAAAACTTCCCTGTAAAGTGGGATCCTTGGCTACCCATTCAGAACCCTGCCTCTCAAGAGCTATACTTTAAATAAATATTTTCTACTCTTAACCTCCATTGTTCCTAGAATTCATTCTTCGATTTTAGACATGAACTTGGTGTATCGGATGTCTAACGGGTTGGGAATTGCATTTTCCTAGTATCATTTGGAGGTCCTATTTCATCTCCTATACCATTCCTGTGTCGTACTGACACATGCTTACAACCCTAAGTCCATGAACATCAGGGGTCCTTCTTGCTGTTACGTATTTTAGAGGTTTGGACAAATGTGTGGCATCCACCCATCGTTACAGCCCCATACACAGTAGCTTTTCGACCCTAAAAACCTGTGCTCACTTCATCCTTTCTTCCCACCTAATCCTTTATCTGTGCTTTTTTATTTGTGGTGCTGGGGATCAAATCCATGGACTAATGGGTACTAGGCAAGTGCTTAACCAGTAGGCCGCATCCCACCTCCTACTCCCCGATGTTTTGTCTCCGTAGTTTTGCTTTTTCAGAACAGATGCGTGTCTTACAGTTGGATTCATGTAGAGTAACACATTTTCAGAATGACTCCTTTCACTTGGTAACATGCTCGTCTTTTCAAGGCTCATTTCTTTTTAGTACTGAATAGTTCATCGTCTGCATGTACCACACTTTACCCTTCCATCTACTCAAGAACATCTTGGTTGCTTCCAAGTTCTGGCAATTCTCAAATGGCTCTAAATGTTCGTGTACTAATTTGCCTGTGGACATTTTGCATTCCTTTGGGTAAATACCAAGGAGATGGCAGGAACAGATTAAGAATATGCTTAAGTTTTGTGAGAAGCTATGCTAAATTGTCTTCCACTGCCGTGGCAGCCCCATCTTGCATTCTCACGAGCAATGAGAGTTCCTGTCACTCCACATCACCACCTGCATTTGATGTTGCTCAGTGTTCTGGATTTTGACAATTCTAGGAACCGTCTAGTGGTCTCATTTTTTTTTTTTTTATTTCCATTTTCCTGACGGGGTATCTTTTCATGCTCCTCACCTCTTTTTTTGGAGTACTGAGGGAACTTGAGGCCTGCTGCGTGCTAGGCAAGTGCTCTGCTCCTTGTACACCTTCATTGGTGAGGTATCTACTAAGGTCTTTGGCCTACTTTAAATCAAGCTGTTTGTTTTCTTATGGTTGAGTTTTAAGAGTTCACTGTGGTTTTCATTTACAATTCCTGCATAATTTGTAAATTTAAGCATTGTTTCCTGTTTTTTGGCCTACAGAGTTGAAAGCACACAAAAAGGTAGTTTACATTTTACTTGTTTATTTTGGTTTTCTGAGACAGGGTCTCACTATGTAGTTGAGACTGACCTGGAACTATGTAGCCCAGGATGGTCTCAACCAAAACCTTTCACTACCAAGTAGGACATAAGAAATAAAAGGAGACAAGGAAATTATAACAATTGTATTTGGTAAGACTACAACTTCCAGGACACAGCTGAAGTTACCCAAGGTCATATATTGACTCAATTAAGAAAGTAAGATATCGCCGGGCATGGTGGCATACACCTCTAATCCCAGCACTGGGAGGCTGAGGCAGGAGGATCGCTGTGAGTTTGAGATCAGCCTGGGCTACACAGTGAGTTCCAGGAAATTATAACAATTGTATTTGGTAAGACTACAACTTCCAGGACACAGCTGAAGTTACCCAAGGTCATATATTGACTCAATTAAGAAAGTAAGATATCGCCGGGCATGGTGGCATACACCTCTAATCCCAGCACTGGGAGGCTGAGGCAGGAGGATCGCTGTGAGTTTGAGATCAGCCTGGGCTACACAGTGAGTTCCAGGTCAGTCTCAACTACATAGTGAGACACTAACAGCTCCAATGTTAACAGGAGAAAAAGACAGACTTGGGGAGAATGAACCATAAGAACTCTGACTTCTGCAGGTGTGGCTGGGGTTAAGTTCTGTTCTCTAAGGTCTAGGTAGCATTTCCTGACCTAACAAGAGGCTCCCAACAGAAATCTAAACAATCAGTTGTGTATGTGCTGAGGACAAGCGGAGTTCCGGCAAAGGGAGTTACAGGCAGCTAGGAAAAGGCCAAGCTGAAGAGGGAGTCAGAAAGGCTTGGTGAAGGATACATCGATAACCAAAGCCAAGGCAACTGGAGGTGCAACAAAGGCCTCATTGGATTGGTAGGATTTTCTTACCCAGAAACAAGATATTCATGCCCCTCTAAAGAATACCTTTACTGTGTTTATGCATGTAATTTCAGCAATATAGTCATTTTTTTAAATATAAAAACCCTAAACTGGGAGTCCCTTTGGCAACCTATTCAGGTCCTCCCTCTCCCAGGTTCAACAACCTGAGGGCTGTTTGCTTTTGCTTTAGAATAAAGCCTGCTTTCTGCTTTTGCTCTATAATACTTTTGCTCAGTGCATACTGTACTCTCTGCGTTTGCCTAATAAACCCTATTCATTTGTCTGGCATATCCTGAATTCTTTTTCTGAGACAGGAGCCAGCAAGCCTGCTACAGCGGGGCAGGTTAAGTTTGGGAAACAGAACCCAGACCAGTGACACCTACACTTGGGAAAGTTCCTGTCTTCTACCAACTTGAGAAGCTGGATGGCTGTGTTTGCAAACCTTCTCAAGGCGCTTCCTTCTAGGACAACTAGCTGCAAAGTTGAAAGCTGACAAGTGTAGGTAGTGACACATTTATTGGTCCTATTATCAGTAGGAAAATGACAAGCTTGCCCCCTGGTGACAAGTTAGGACATAATAGAAACAGCAAATATTCCTACAAGAAAAGGCAAAACACCGCAAAGAACATACTCTACCTTATTTAGAATCTGGAGAGAGCACTAATGAAACAAACTACAAACCAATCAAAATGGTTTATTCATAGGAATAGCTAAAAAAAAAAAAAAAAAAAGTTCCAGTGGGCAAAATACGTCACAAAATCTCTTTACAAATTCCTAGCTGGAGTTGTTCTGGGAATGTTTCCTCAGCATGAGGACCAGTGCCAGGTGAATGCTCTGGAGATGCTAATTGTTTTCTGCTTTTATTTGTTTGTTTATTTTCCATTAAGTTTATTGGTACATTTAAAACAATACAGTTACATTTATCCTTGGGATCTTGTACCTTTACATGATGCATCTTAGTTCTTGTTTTTTCCCCATACCCCTGACCTCTCTTCATCCCCTTCACTCTTCCCTATTTTCAAAGACTTTGTTTCCATTTTTTCACTTCTTCTTTTCCCTTATTTCTTTTCCCCTCTCCTTCCCACTTCCCCTATTATTATTTTTTTAAGATAAGGTCTCATTATGTAGTCCAGGCTGGCCTTGAACTCATAATGTATCCTAGGCTGGCCTCGAAGACATGGCAATCCTCCTACCTCAGCCTCTAAGTGCTAGGATTACAGGTGTGTGCCACCACACACGGCCCAGATGCTAAGTTTAGCTGTGATAGCCTCTAGAAGGAGGCCAGCTTATGTTTCATCTTCTTCAGCAACCCTGAGGTATATCCACCTTTAACCTTTATACATCCCTCCTGATCTCTATGAATTTATAGGAAGATGAAAAAAGAAAGCCCACACCAATGATTACATAAATCAGAGGGTGGTAGTCGTGACTATTTAACTGTTCTTAGCTCCTTAAAACTTATATTACGTAAAGCAAGTTACTTCCTGATTTTCAAACCTTCCAGCTCAAATAATACTAATAATAAATACGATGTCTGATTCCTTCAGGGCTTTTGGCAGCTAATTTTTCCAATTTTCTGCTATTTGTCTCCTCACTACCCAAATTTCTATTGCTCTCTAGTTTCCTACTACTTTTGACAAAGGTGCAAGTTTAAAAATTGACTCCATAAATGTGGTTTTTCTTCATAGAATTTAAACAGATAAAGGATTATTGACTGAAATACACATTGCAGGCCACAGCCCAGTAGGTGACACTCTAGAATAAACGGATCTATGTAACCAGCACTGCTGAAATCAAGACCCAAGTTCTCCTGCTCCAAGAGGTTATCTGTCAAGGGCTGCATCAGGTCTCAAACAGGAGGTGCCAGCCTCAAACTGCTGCCCGGGGAGGAGGGTAAGCCACATCACCCAAATGTTAAGGGCTGAACAGTTTTCTGCTGTTCTTTGTGCAACTGCCGGGCCCGATTTTTTAGCACCTCAGCCTTTGCCTCGTCCTTATCAACACCATCCCCCAGCTTGTACATGCGACTGGCATTGGCACAGGCCCAGATATGGCCCAGGTCACAGGCTTTCATCGAGTATTTACAAGCCAGGGCCATGTCCTTGGGGACGCCAGGAGCACCCTGCAGGAACATGGTACTGAGATTGAAGCAGCTGGGAGCAAAGCCACCATCACAAGCCCTTGTGTAGTAGTCCCTGGCCCTCCCCAGGTCAGGCTGGCCATCCTCGTTAACCTCTCCATTGTGTGTCAGGAGACCGACATTATGACAGGCTTCCACAGACTTCTTGCCAGGCTTCTCACAAGCCATCAGAAAGCAGCTGAAGGCAGCTTTCAGGTCCTGAGTCAAACCACCTGTGAGGACAGAAAGCCAAGGAAAAAGTAAACCCAAGCGAGGTCGGAAACTAGTTGTCTCAGGACAAAGTCAGAGGGTGAAAGTCCACAGCCTATAAGCTAAGGGAACATGAACAGAATGCAGCCTGGCATAGTGCAGAATTTTTAGCATTTATAACCATAAACTCTTTTTAAATGTTAACTTGTGAGGAAGCCCAAAGAGTTAAAGGAGGTAAATACTGGGAATGACAGTGAGAATATGATATTTTATAATCACTCAATAAAATGTTCATTCATTTAAATATATGGTTAACTAATACATTTAAATATACAACTTAACCCTTCTGGAGATTCAACCAATCATATAAAAAATATTCAGAAAAAAAATGATTTCCGTACTGGGCATGTAGTTTTCCCTACTCATTATTCTTAAGGTAATACATAGTATAACAACTATTTACATTATATTAGGTATTATAAAGTTATCTAGAGATGATTTAAAAGTATACAAAACTGCAGAGGTTATATGGAGACACTATGCCATTTTATAGAAATCTGAGCCACTGAGGACTCTGGCACCTTCAGGAGTCCTGGGACCAATCTCCCAGCTACTGAGGGATGACAGTATGATGAATGTCTATTATTTGCCAACTACTGCACTATGTCCTGAGGAACAGACATTGTCCCACCCTTGTGGGTCTTATGATCTAATGGGACATATTAAACCATCCTACCAAAAACGTATGATTGTTAGTGTGACAACCATGTGGAACAGCAGTATCCTTGCCCTATGAGAACGCATGAAGGTCCTGCCTGAGCCTTCAGGTCAGGCCAAGGAAAGTTCCCCTAAAGAAGTGACACCTGAGCTCTGATATAATGAAAAGAGGCAAAAGAAAACAGGTGAGGGATTTTCTGGCCAGGGGGAACAAAAAACAAAAAGAAAAAGGGCCACTGTGACTAGAACCCAGAAACCACTGAAGAAAGGCTGGAGAGGCAGACAGGGCCAGATCACTCAGGGTCTGGTGGGTCATGTTCAGGACCCTGAATTTAACCTTAGAAACAATAAGAAACTGATAACAAGTGATTTAATTAGGTAAAGTAGTGACAGGGATTACTTTGTTTTATTTTTTTGCACACAAAATTTCAAATCCCCACATACAATCACTCATCCTTACAAAAAAAAAAAAAGAAAAAGAAAAAGAAACAAAGTTAAACTCACTATGTAGCCCAGGTTGGCCTTGAACTCACTGCAATCCTCCTGCCTCAGCCTTCCAAATGCTGGGATTACAGGTGTGTGCCACCATGTCCAGAAAATATGTGGAAATTAAATAATACACTACCAAATAACCAGTGGGTCAAAGAAGAATCAGAAATCACCTTAAGACAAATAAAAATGGAAACAATATACTCAAATTTATGGAATACAGTAAAAGCAATGATAAAAGGGGTTTATGGCAATAAATATCTATGTTAAGGAAAAAAGTCCTCAAATAAATAACCTAACTTTACACCTCAAGAAATAAGAGAAAAGGGGCCAGAGATTTAACTCAGTGGTTCTGCTGCCTGTCTCGCAAGCGAAAGGTCCCGAGTTCAATCCCTGGTACCAAAAAAAGAAACCAGGGGAAAAAAAAAAAGCTTAAAGTCAGTAGAAGGAAAAAATAAGAAATTATTATGAAAATCAGTAGCATTTGTATATACTAACAACGAACTATCCGAAAAAGAAATCAAGAAAATAAATCACCTGTCTGTAGTTCCAGCTACTTGGGAGGCTGAGGCAGGACGATACCTTGAGTCCACAAGTTTGAGACCAGTGAAGCCCCATCTCAAAAAACAACAACAAAAAAAGACAGACAAATAATTTTACAATAGCATCTAAAAAGTGAAAATAGGAGCTATAGTGTAACTCAGTGGTAGAATGTATGCTTTGCACATGTGAGGCCCTGAGTTAATCTCCATAACCAAAAATATACATAAATACATATGTAAATAATTTACAAATAAATTAGCAAAAGAAGGTAGAAGATATACACACTGAAAATTATAAAACACTGATGAAAGAAACAAGACAATCCACATAAAAACAAAAGCTTCATGGACTAGAAGATATTGTTAAATGTCCAGACTATTCAAAGGTGATCTTCAGATTCAATGTTATCCTTATCAACATTCCAACAGCGGGCTGGGGACACAGCTCAGTAGCATCACACCTGCCTTGCAAGCACAAGGTCCTGAGTTTGATCCCTAGTACCCAAAATAATAACAACAACAACAACAAACTCCAAGGGCATTTTCTACAATATAGAAGAACCTATCCTAAATTCATAAGGAACCAGAAAAAGACCCCAAAGCCAAGGTAATGTTGAGTAAAAAGACAAAGGCATTATACTACTTGTTTTCAAAATATACCACAAAGCTAAGTAATCAAAACAGTATGGCATCACCTTATTAAAAAAAGGGAAGGAAACATTCAAATCCATGCAATTAGGAATGAAAGGGTAAAATCACAATAGATCCTGCAGAAATCCAGAAGATCATCAATACCTACTCTGAGAATCAATATTCTAATAAGATGGAAAACACAGAAAAATGGACAGATTCCTGGATACATAGGAATTACCAAAGCTAAATTAGGAAGTTATAAAAATTCTAAATAAACCAGTATCAGTCAATTAAATTGAAGATGTAATTAAAAATCTACCACAAAAACAGCCCAGGCCCTGATGGATTCACTGCTGAATTCTACAAGAACTTTCGAGAAGACTAATGCTACTATTTCTCAAACTCTTTAATAAATTAAAAGGGAAGCAATACTCCCAAACTCATTCCTGAAAGCAATCAATACTCTGATACCAAAGCCAGAGTAGAATCCAACTAAAAAAGAGAACTACAGGCCAATCTCCCTAATGAACACAAGTGCAAAACTCCTCAAATAATGGTGAACAGAATGCAGCAAATCATCAAGAAGGTTATACACCATGACCACGTAGGCATCATCCCAGGGATGCAGGGATGGTATAACATATGCGCATCAATAAATGTAATACACTATAGTAACAGAAGCAAGAGGAAAAAAACATATGATCATGTCAATAGATGCAGAAAAAGTGTTTGACAAGGTCCAACACCCATTCATAATAAAAACCCTACAGAAAGTTGGAATAGATGGTCCTTATCTCAATCTGATAAAGGCCATCTATGACAAACCAACAGCCAACATCATACTAAATGGACAAACTGAAAGCTCTCATTCTAAAATCAGGAACCAAATAAGGATGTCCACTGTCACCACTCTTATTCAATACAGTTCTGAAAACATTAGCCAGAGCAATTAGACAAAAGAAAAAAAATAAATAAAAGGAATAAGGATAGGAAAAGAAAAAGTTATCATTAATTGTAGATGACATGACACTCTACATAGAAGACCCCAAAAACTCCACCAAAAGACTTCTAGATTTAATAACCAAATTCAGTAGCATAGGTGGATACTAAGTCAACATTAAAAAATCAATAGCACTCCTGTACTCAAATAACAAACTCACTGAGAGAGAAAACAGAGAAACACCACCTTTCACAATAGCATCCAAAAAATGAGATACCTAGAAATCAATCTAACAAAAGAAGTAAAAGACCTCTACATTGAAAACTACCATACTTTGATAAAGAAGACTGAAGAGGATATCAGGAAATGGAAAGATATCCTTTGTTCCTGGGTAGGAAGAACAAATATAGTGAAAATCGCCATACTTTGGCCAAATATAGTAAAAATTATTATACTGATTTAATACAAATGTGATCAAAATTCCAAGAGCATATCTCACAGAATTAGAGAAAACAATCTTAAAATTCATTTAGAGCCAGAAGAGACCTAGAATTAGCAAAAGCAATTCTGGGCAACAAAGGCAAGGCAGGGACGTCACAATCCCTGAACTGAAATTATACTATAAAGCTACTATGATAAAAAACAGCATGGTACTGGTAAAACAAAAACCAGACCTGAGAATAAACAGAACAGGTAGAGATTGCAGAAATAACTCCAGACATACTCAGCCACTTTAGCTTTAACAAAGGAGCCAAACACCTTCACTGGAAGGAAGATAGCCTCTTTAATTAATGGTGCTGAAAAACTGGCTGTCCACAAGCTAAAGATTAAAACTAGAAACATATTTTTCACCATGCACTAAACTAAAATCAAAATAGATAAAAGATCTAAATATTAAAACAGAAACACTAAATCTGCTGGGAGATAGAACAGAATTCTTGAAGACCTTGGTGTAGGCAAAGACTGAACAAAATCCTGATCACACAGGAAATATCACAAAGAATCAACAACTGGGATCTCCTCTTATTAAAAATCTTTTGTACAGCAAAAGAAACCACCAACAGAGTGAAGAGACAACCCAGTGTGGGAAAAAATTTTTGGCAGCTGTTCCTCAGACAAAGGATTACTATCTAGAATATATAAAGAACTAAAAGAAAAAAAATCAGACCTCCCAAAATTTAAAGACACAATCCAAAAATGAGCATGTAAAATTGAATACTTCTTAGATGAAGAAGTAGAAACAGCAAATAAATATATGAAAAAGTGTTCAACATCACTGGTCATTTAAGAGATGCAAATTAAAACAATGCTGAGATTCCATCTCACTCTAGAAAGAATGGCTGTTACCAAGAAATTGACCAATAAATAACAAATGCTGGAGGGGATATGGGGAAAAAGGAACACTTCTCCACTGTTGGTGGGAGTGTAGACTGTGCAACCACTATAGAAATCAGCATGGAGAGTCCTCAAAAAACTAAAACTAGAGGTTCCATTTGACTCAGCTATTCATTCCCCTTCTTGGTATGTTCCCAAAAGAATTAAAAGAATCATATGCACACCTACATTTATAGTGGCACAGTCTGTAACAGCTAAATCTTGGAAACAATCCAAATGCCCATCAATCAATGAATGGATAAAGAAGATGTAGTTTTTTTCTTAATACAATGGAGTAATACTATGCCATAAAGAAGGATGAGCTTGAGACATTTCTAGCTAAATGAATGCACCTTGAGATCACACTGGCTTTTTTTTCATTAAGTTTATTGGTACGTTTTAGGTATACAATAGTTATATTCATTATTGGGATCTTGTACCTTTACATGATATATCTTGGTTCTTATTTTTCCCCATTCCCCTGCCCTCCATTCAACCCCTTCACCCTTCCCTATTTACAAAGATTTTGTTTCCCTTTTTTCCTTTTCTCATATTTTTTCTTTTCCCTTCTTTCCTTTCCCCTATCCCTCTATCTTTCCCTACTACTTTAGACCTTTTCTTCCTTTTTCATATTATTATACAATTTGATCCTTATTTACACTTTGTTTTTTCACAAGAGAAACTATTCAGCACTTATACAAGTGTGTCCTATTTATTTCACTTAAGAGTATAGCCTCAAAGTGCATCCATTTAGCTATGTTTCTAGTTTCTCCTTCTTTATGGCTGAGTAGTACTCCATTTTATAGAAAAACCACTTCTTCTTTATACAGTCTCCAGTTGATGGGCTGTTTCCTAGTTTTACCTATTACAAACTGTGCCACTATAAACATGGGTGGGCATATAACACTGTGGTATGATTCTTTTAATTCATTTGGGAAGATAGCCAGCAGAGGAAAAGCTGGGTCAAATGTGACCTCTAATCCTAGTTTTTTGAGGTATCCCCATATTGATTTCCATACTGGTTGCACCAGTGTGCACTTCCACCAACAATGGAGAAGGGTTCCTTTCTCCCCACCTCCCCGTTGTCATTTGCTATTGGTTGATGTCTTCGGGTGAGGTGGAATCTCAGCATTGTTTTCATCTTCATCTCTAGAATGACCAGTGGTGTTGAACATTTTTTTATGTTTATTTGCTTTTACTTGTCTGAGAAATGTCTGTTCATTTCAGATGTCCATTTTTGAATCAGGTCTTTATATTTGGGGGGACTGATTTTTTTAAGTTCTTTATATATTCTAGACAGTAGTCCTTTGTTGAGGAACAGCTGATAAAAATTTTTTCCCACATTGTAGGCTGTCTCTCAGCTCTGTTGGTCGTTTCTCTTGCAGTGCAGTAGCTTTTTAATAAGATGAGATCCCAGTTGTTGATTTTTTGTGCTAGTTTCTGTGCTATTGAGGTTTTGTTCATAGTCTTTTCCTGTGCCAATGTCTTTGAGAGTTCTAGCTATTTATCTTCCAGCAAGTTTAGTGTTTCTGTTTTAATACTTAGATCTTTAATCCACTTCAATTTTAGTTTAGTGCAAGGTAAAAGATAGGGGTCTTAGTTGTGATCTTTAGCAGGCTGAAATCTAGTTTTTCCAACACCATTTATTTTTATCTATTTATTTGGCGAAGGGGTGGTTGAGACAGGGTCTATGTAGTTGAGACTGACCTGGAACTCACTATATAGCCCAGGCTGGTCTCAAACTCACAGCCATCCTCCTGCCTCAACCTCCCAAGTGCTGGGAGTGCACCACCATGCCCAGCCCAACTCCATTTATTAAAGAGGTTTATCTTTCCTCCAATGAGGATGGTTGGCTTCTTTGTCAAAGATGAGGTCGTTGAGTATGTCTGGAGTTGTTTCTGCATCTTCTAATCTATTCCCCTGTTCCTTGGGTCTGTTTCTTCGCCAGTACCATGCTGTTTTTATCACAGTGGCTTTGTAGTATAGGTTCAAACTGGGGATTGTGATACCCTCTGTCATGTCTCTGTTGCCTAGAATTGCTTTTGCTCTTCTAGGTTGAGACCATACTCTTAAGTAAAATAGATTGGACACACATATTTAAATACCACATTGTTTTCCTGGTGTGAGAAAGCAAAAATGGAAATCAAGACTAAAATGTGCAATAAATATTGGGAAACGGGAAGAAAACATTCAAATGAGAAGAGGAGCGAGAGCAGGGGAAGGGGAAAGGAAAGAAGGGACAAGAAAAAAAAAAGAAAACAGAACAAAAAATAGAAACAAAGCTTTTTAAAATAGAGTGGAAAAGGGGTCAAAGGGAGTAGGGGGCATGGGAAAAAAAGCAAGATATATACATGTACAACATTATGTATATCTAAAATGTACCAATAAACATTTTGCTTAAAAAAAGAACAAAACATGCTTCTGAAGCTTTTAAAAGAAAAAAAAGGCATCTGAACCTTTTGAAACCAAACCATACCAAAAAAAAAAAAAAACCCCAAACAAACAAACAAAAAAACAAACCCAGCATGGCATCAGCATAAAAACAGACAGTATATACCAGTGGAACAGAATACAAAGTCCAGAAATAAATCCATGCTTTTATGATCAACTGAACTTTGGCAAAAGTACCATGAACACAACAGTAAGGAAAGCACAGTCCCTTCAATACCTACTAAGAAAAGTGTATATCGACATGTAGAAAAATGTAATCAGATCTTTACCTCACACCATATACAAAAATAAACTTAAAACGGATTAAGACCTGAACTTACAGAGCTACAATAGTGAAAAAACTTTTGATATTGGTCTGGGCAATGGTTTCTCGGATATGACTCCCAAAACACAGGAAACAAAAGGAAAGACAGATAAATGTTTTGAGTCTGCTTTCTGCTGCTGTAAAAGAATACCACAACTGGGTAATGTAATTACCAAAAGCTGAACCAAGTTTAAGATGTAAGAATCTTGAATAATGCAGTGTCAAAGAAATTGAAGAAGTAATTTAAAAACAACAAAGAAAAACCCAGGTCCCAATAAATTCACTGCTAAAGCCTACAAGTACTTTACAGAATATCTAACACCAATATTCCTCAAAACTTTAACGGCGGCTGGGGATTTAGCTCAGCGGTTTGGTGGCCTGCCTCGCAAGCACAAGGACCCAAGTTCGATCCCCAGCACCAAAAAAAAAAAAAAAAAAAACTTTAATGCAATGAAATGACTCCCAAAGTCATTCATGAAAGCAAGTATTACCCTGACTCCAAAACCAGAAAAAGACCCAACAGACATTTTTCAAAAGAAGACATAAAACTGGCCAACAGATTTGTGACAAAATGTTCAATGTTACTAATCAGGGAAATGAAAATCAAAAACTACAATGAGATACCACCATCAAAAAAAAAAAAAAAAAAAAAAAAAAAAAAAAAAA